TGGTAAAAGATGAAGAATATTTCAGAGATTTTTGTGAGAGGAGGGAAATAGTCTCAGACAGAAGGAATCACAGAGCATCACATTCCTTTGTACAGTGACAAATCAGCTGACAACATGTGGAAGCATGCACCAGTAAAAGCTTATAAATCAAATACAATCCCTGTAATAAACAGGCTGGCTGAGAAAAGCTGCAGCTTGGGATGTGCACAACAGTATAAACACCCTTCAGCTGCAGTGCCTGGGGCTGATATAAACCCCTTGGTCACCCACGTTTCGTATCCTTGACAAAGCTGCAAAGATCATCCTCAACCAAAGTTCACCTTTTACTCCACAAGGTCTCTCAAGAAGTTCTCCAGTACCCCCAAGGCTGTCCAAATACCAAACCATTTAAAAGAGTGGGTAAGTTTTTCCTTAGGGTCATTTACTGAAGTTAAGAAAACTCCTTCCTGTACTCTCCATCCAGCAGAGAGAGGACACCGATCGTTACCATCTTTAGGGCAATCTTGAACAGGCTGGAAAGCACCTGTCCTCCACCTGCCCCTTCCAGGGAAAGTTCTTTCAAATTTTCCCCATATGGCATTTTGTTTTCCAGATCTCTTATTTTTGCTGTTGCTGTATGGACTCTCGAGTTTATCTGCATCGTTCCTAGTATAACGCTCAAAACCAGTCACAGAGCAGCAACTGAAACTGAGTCAGTGCCAAAGAATGCAAAATAATTACTTCGTGAACTCTACAGACAGCACTTTCTAGTTCACAGAGAAAAGGTTTGCCTCTGGTCCTGAACCGCAGCGTGCTGCTGATTTACTCCGGGATTTGCTACAGCCAACGACTATTTTCCTTCTGTTGGCTGTTCCACATTCTGTAATTAGGTATTTGATTTCTTCACTACACAATTCCATGCACTTTTTTCGTTTCATCACACTGACTTCAAAACATTTCCCTGTGGTATTCAACCAGCCTAAAGCTAAGACAGCCCAAGTTATTGATTTGCAGATCCGAGAAGTCAGCCACAGGCTAGGTTATCCTCCCACTTCCCACACACGGAAGTGGCCCGTATCCCACCACCACCCTGGCCGGCACGCTCCCCTGCCAGCTAGCACAGCTCCCTGGCTAAAGACAGCCTTGATGTTTACACCTCGGATTCAGGGGGGAGGCTACAGCCCTCCAAATATTGTGTTTCTTTGCTGCACGCACTGATTAAAACTCCACCTTCTCCTGCAGCCCTTCCAGCACAGCAAGCCTGGGGCAGTATTTCCTGCGTTGCATGGGGCAATGCAGACAGGTCAGCGAGCAGGACTGTCCCAGGCAACCCAGCCACCAAAAATGACTGCTGAAATCTCACAGAAAATACATCTCCTTGAGAAAAATACCTTTTCTTAGTGCTTAACTTCGGACAAATTTTGACCTTCTCTTTGAACTGAAGTTCACTAAGCTGATTGTACAGGGGCACACCAGTTTGCAATAGCCCCACCACACACGCCACAGGCAAAGCAGCATACCATGCACGGACCAGGGACACCTCTGCAGCTCTCCTCGATACAAAGATTGTTCTATGCATTTCTTCCCAAAATAGCTACTCCTCTACCCAGATACAGCTTTACCACCATTTTTCTTGTTCCCAAGCACAGTTGCACAATCTTTACTGAGCTTCTAGTTTCTTTCCAGAGGCTTCTAGTGCAAAAGCCAGATACCTGCCGGAATCTTTTCTTTATCTCTTCATCTGTGGCTTCAGGATCCATTTGCAGTACCTAAAAGAGACCATGAGAGCAGAGCAAGTTCGATGACACTCCCCACGTTTCAGGTTCCTGGCAGCAAGCTCTAAACACTTGGTTCACTGGCATACAGACACAACGCCAGAAAGTTCCCCCCATCAGGGAGCTGCTTCAGGACATGAATTTTCACCTAGTAAAACAGAAAAAAATTCAGAGACGCCATGTTTGGGACATTCTACTTTTAGCAGTGCTAGATTTCTCCGACTACGCCGGCGTCCTTTCCACACTCGACTCTCACACAGACACAGCTGCCATCCCTGAATAGCCACAACTGGTCTAACCCCACAGCCAGTCCTGCAGCAATGCTCAGTTTGGCAGAAATGGCAGCACACCGTGGCTGTGGGACGCTGCTGGATCATTCATAACCGAGAACTCTGGGCAGGAAACATACTACCTTGTAAGAATTTATTCATTTTACCATTTTGAAAGAAGACAGGAGAGTTTTACTATTCGGTTTCCATGAACGAGCCCACTTGTCTACGTACTGATCGTGACAGAGTTTAGGAGTTCTTTTGTGAATTAATTTGCTCAAGACAAGTCCTAAGCAACAAGTGAGCCTACTCAATGCGGATGCACGTTGGTCTGACACTAAGAATTGTAAATAAAAAACACTCTCTCACAGGAAAGCTACAATTTATTTCTAAATGGCTTTCTTAATTTACTCCCCAGGTCAAGTACTACGATCTAACAGAACTGAACGTTGTCACGGTGAATCTGCCAGCTGATCTGGCTGAGCAGCCCTACACTGGGACTATAAAAAGCACCTGAGGCTTCAAAAAGGCAGATAAAGATGATATCAGGGAGGAATATACACAGGGAAAGCCAGCTCCAGAGGAATATCAAGATTGCTTTATTTACTGTCTTCCTCGGGCTTTCATACTCATTAAGACTTTATAATTGACTGCAACTGGAATCAAACTATTCAGTGTGTAAGGGAATCACCCGTTTTCCAGTGCCTCCTCAAAAACTGCTCACTGTGAGCAGCGAGAGTCCTTCTCTCCTTCTGTGCACTACGCCTGTTCAGTGGGATGAACGCCCGAAGCAGAAGACACAACCAGAAAAGCTGAATCGAGAGCGCTCAGAGCAGAACCTGACAAGCTTGCCACTTGTAGCTGCTGCATTCTCGTTAAGTCCCGAGCATTAATCTGACAAATCTTCCAGTGCTGTTGCACGAGGACAACATGTCAATACAACATAGTTTGTGCCTGCCATAAAACAGTGAAGAAGAGAGCAAGCACATCTACACCATCCTTCTGCCTTCTGTAAACCTTCTGCACAATAATCTACATCCAGCAAATTTTTTTCTTTCTTTATGTTCGGTTTTTCTACTGACATAAATACTCAGTAACTACGGAGGCTGGTATACCACATCAGGAGGGAGGATAAAACATTCAAACTAACCTCAAAAGGGTTCAAGTTGAAATAGGAAGATCCAGGTCGAGTCAGCCTGTCAATTTGGTTTTTTGATGTTAAAACAGAGTCTCGCTTTTCAATTTGCTTTACCTGAAGAACAAGAGACCCATATTAACTGACCATCACAACACGCTTACCTGTTTTCCCCTGTGATTACCACACCAGTCATCATCGTCCTGCACTACAACTCACCACAGCTCGTGCTCATCCCAAGCCTGTAGTTACTTCACTCAAGCATCAGCAGAGCACATTTTTTAGCCTCTTCTACAGTACGACAGTATTTTTAACACCACATTTTAACTACAAAAAACCCTAGACAGCCCTTCTGCCTGCCTCCCCTACAGCTTGCTCCCCAGCTGCGGCTCTGCCCCGCACTTGGCTCCTACACCACCACCATCATCACGATTCCCTGGAAACCTCCCGCGCTGTTGTTTTCCGCCCGCTGTCGGCAGCGCAGCCCGTTAAACACACCGAGGGACACCAGTGCAAGCAGACAAGCCCATTCCATTCTGACCGCAGGTTATTTAGCTCAGCTCAGTTCACTTTTTGTTCTTTACAGTATTAAGCCAAACCAAACCGCGCGTTTACATTCAGCGTTCACCTTTGTTTACAGAAATAAGCACCCACCAAGCTGGCACCACCCTTGGGCAGGCCGGCAAGCACAGCCCGGTAACAGCGACCCGC